TTTTTTTTTTTTTTTAATTTCTTAAATTTGAGTATTTGAGTGCCAACTCCCATTATTTTTAAGTAGAAATGATCTGATCCACAACTGATTACAATTGATCATAGAGATAGTGCAGAATTAGGCAGCATTTTCTTCTGCTGTACATGGGGTCACCATGAGTCAGAGGTTGACCCAACAGCACCTAACAACAATAGTAAAACTCTAGATGAAAGAAAAAATGGAAATTCTTATGCATTAGTAACTTAAGCCTCCTCATGCCCAGAATGATTGTAGGAGGAGGGGACTGTTTAAGTTGGTCCCTCTCTTTGATTATTTGAATTGAAGAAAAAGCAGGTTCTCCTACGGGGTCAAATTTGGGAATTTGGTGGCATAGTGCCTAAGACATTTGGCTGTTAACTAGAAGGTTGGCAGTTCAAACTCACCATCCACTCTGTGGAAGAAAGACTGGCAATCTACTTCCATAAAGATTTACCACCCTGGAAACCCAAAGGGGGTCACTTTGAGTTTGAGTTAACTTGATGGCACTGAGTTTAGTTTTTGTTTTTTGAACACTCATTCAAATGCAGGAATTGTTTGTAAAGGAATCTTTATTGGGCATAAACTGTCACTCATGCAAGGAAATGGTAAATAATAGCTGGGTCTGAACCTTGTTCGAAAACCCAGTAGGGGATAAACAGAAGAGTAGGAGGGTAATATTAAAAAATCTTGCAAAAGAATGACTTACCTATGCTATCATAGGGAATTACAATCGTCCCAGCATCAGCCCACATTTTGGTATAGATAAAGAGACACAATGGCATCATTCCCAGGGCAAGCAGTGTGGAACATGTGGTCATGCTGACACTGAAAAGAAAGAGGTAAGTTGACAGGCATGTCCACTTGGGCTTTCTATGTAAGAGTTTGTTTCAGTTTTTGCTTCAGGAATAGAAAGTCCTTCAAAAGACTATCTCAACCAATAGCATCCTGTGGTATGATAGCCAGAAATAGACGTGTGGGCAAGTTTGTATAGGAAGGGCCTTGATAGAATGATGAGATCCATTGTTGGTGTCATTGTACCTTGTCTTGTGCCATCTCACTCTCCCCATGTGTTCTCAAGTATCAAAGAAGATATTTAATAACAGTTTAAACCTACTATTAAACAATGCACAAAGTGCTCAGATGTGATACCCTTTGAACCTCTGGTCAGACAATAGCAGACACATTTATACCGGCCAAATTTTCACTGGGCTTTGTGTGGCTGACTTGGTGTAAGATGGCCCTCCTTTAAACCAAGATGAGCTCTTGGTGGAGAATGCATGTCTGAAGAAGGAGCCTTAGTGTCTTTTCTTAAAGGAGACAAATTATGGGCCAAATGGCTGTAGCTTGAGAAAAGAAGAAGTTGACTTATAAAACAAAAGAAAACCTGTAGTCAGGGATGGTAGTCCTGGAGTCTTAGAACTGAGTTAGTTGCTAAGAAATTTGCCAAAAATGTGTTCAGAAGAAGCAAGGTTTGTTGTGACTCTTCTTGAGAGCATTTATACTTTAGAAAGTGGATTTGACCAAGTAAGTAGATTTTGTCTAAGTGAGTACATTTTGGTTTTGATTCTGAGGAATTAATATCAAATGATGCTATTTTTGGCACTGTTAAAGCTGTTGTAAGAGAGTTTTTTTGGTCAGTGGGTCTTTGTGATCCCTTCAAATTGCATCCTGTACAGGGCACATTCTCTGCCTGTGGAACATAGCAGTTAAAAGCCTCTTTTTTCTCTGATCCAGACTGTTTGGGTTTGAAGAGGTATTGTCACTTACTATGTGACCTTGGGTAATTTACTTGACTTCTCTGTGCCTATTTTCTTATCTGTAAAATAAAGATAATAATAGTCTTTCCCCTCATAGATTGTGAAGATTAAATGAGCCGATGGTGTGTCCTACTTAGTGTGGGCAACTCTTTAAGAGATAGATCCTATTAGTATCTATATAGCCATACATTTGTATTACAGTATAACTGAGAATCAGGAAATTCTAAGAGCAATTGTTTGGAAAGCCCCCTTCTCCAATAACTGTAATATTAAGAGCTATTAAAGTAGTGATTTCTTTAAAGTATTATGTGCATACTTGAAGGAAAATGCTAAAAATTTACACTCCCTTCCGATGGCACATAACAACAACAACATGCTAGGGAAGAGGTAATCTTGGTGATGCAGTGGTTAAGTATTTAGCTGCTAACCAAGAGGTCAGTGGTTCAAACCCACCACTGCTCCACAGGAGAAAGATGTGGCAGTCTGCTCCCATAAAGATTCCAGCCTTGGCCTGGACAGAATGGGAGAAAAATGTAGAACAAAATTCAAAATCATACAAAAAACCACACTTACTGGTCTGATAGAGACTGCTAGAACACCTTTAGTATCTCTTAGGCACCCTTCAAACATGGAGCTGACATTCCCCTGGGAATCATAGTTTAGTCAAACAACAGACAGGCATCTAAAGTCAATGGTAACACTTTTAAGGAATGTAATCCTTAGAACGGGAGCTCTGGTAGCACAGTGGCTAAGGTACTTGACTGTTAACCAGAAGGCTGGCAGTTCAAACCCACCAGCCACTCCTCTGAAGGAATATGGGGCAATCTACTTCCATAGTGATACTGCCTCGGAAACCCAAGGAGGGGTCTCTATGAGTCAGGTCTGACTCGATGGCACATAACAACAACAACACTCCTTAGAACAATTAACTATCTGAGACCAAGAGGGCAGCATTTGCTCAAAACAAAGCTTAGAAGGCAAGAAGGGGCAGGAAAGAAGGACACATGGAAATAAGGAACCCAGAGGGGAAGTGGGAAGAGTGCTGTTGTTAGTTGTTGTTGTTAGGTGCTGTCAAGTCAGCTCCAACTCATAGCAACCTTGTATACAACAGGACAAAACACTCTCAGTCTTGTGCCAGCCTCACAATACTTGCTATACCTGAGCCCATCATTGCAGCCACTGTGTCAATCCATCTCATTGAAGGCTTTTCCCTTTTTTGTTAACCCTCCACTTTACCAAGCACGATATCCTTCTCCAGGAAATGGTTCCTTCTGACAACATGACCAAAGTAGGTGAAACAAAGTCTGCCCATTCTTGCATCCAACGAGCATTCCGGCTGCACTTCCTCCAGGGCAGATTTGTTAGTTCTTCTTGCAGCCTATGGTACTTTCAGTATTCTTTGCCAGCACCATAACTTAAAAGCATCAACTCTTCTTTGCTCTTCCTTATTCATTGTCCAGCTCCCACATGCATATGACGTGATTGAAAATACCATGGCTTGGGTCAAGCATACCTTAGTCTTCAAAGAGACATCTTTGCTCTTCATCACTTGAAAGAGGTCTTTTGCAGCAGATTTGCCCAGTGCAATACATTGTCTGATGTCTTGACTGCTGTTTCCATTGGTGTTGATTGTGGAACCAAGCAATGTGAAATCCTTGACAACTTTAATATTTTCTCCACTTATCATGGTGCTACTTATTGGTCCAGTTGTGAGAATTTTCATTTTTTTTATATTGAGATGTAATTCATATTGCAGACTGTAGTCTTTAATCTTCATCAGTAAGTGCTTCAAGTCATCCTCGCTTTCAGCAAGCGAAGTTGTGTCATCTGTGTCTTGTAGGCTGTTAATGAGTCTTCCTCTAAACCTGATGCCATGTTCTTCTTCATATAATCCAGCTTCTCAAATTATTTGCTCCACCTAAAGATTGAATGGGGTGAATGGATACAACCCTCCCTTCCTGATTTTAAACCATGCAGATCTTCTTGTTCTGTTCAGACGACAGCCTTCTGGTCTATATACAGGTTCCTCATGAGCACAATTATGTGTTCTGTAATTCCCATTCTTCTCAGTGTTATCTATAATTTGCTAGGATCCACAATCAAATGTTTTGCATGGTGCATAAAACACAAGTAAACATCTTTCAGGTATTCTTTGCTTTCAGCCAAGATCCATCTGACATCGTCAATGATATCCCTCATTCCATGTCCTTTTCTGAATCAAGCTTATATTTCTGGAAGTTATTTGTCAATATACTGCTTAAACCATTTTTTAATTATCTTCAGCAAGATTTTACTTGCATGTGATGTTAATGATAATCTTCAATAGTTTCCACATTCTGTGGGATCATCTTTCTTTGGAATGGGTACTGATATGGATCTCTTCCAGTCAGTTGGCCAGGTAGCTGTCTTCCAAATTTCTTGGTATATACAAGTGAGTGCCTCCAGAGCATCATCCATTTTTTGAAACATTTCAGTGTGTATTCCATCAATTTCTGGAGTCTTGTTCTTCACCAATTCCTTCAGTGCAGCTTTGACTTCTTTCTTATACCATTGGTTTCAATACCATTGGTCCTTGATCATATCCCACCTCCTGAAATGGATGACCATCAACCAACTCTTTTTGGTACAGTGACTCTGTGCATTTCTTCCATCTTCTTTTGATGTTTCTTGCATCATTCAATATTTTTCCCATAGAATCTTTCAATATTGCAACTGGAGGACTGAATTTTGCTCAAGACTTGAAGAGTGCTGTTACACTGAGGGAACTGTACCTAATGATATAAATTAGTTACAATTAATAAGTTGCAGCTATATAAATTGTTGAATGGAAAACTAATTTGCTCTGTAAACTTTCACGGAAACCACAGTTAAAAAAAAAGAGAAGAAGAAACAGTGTACAAGAAGCAATGTTAAATAAATTAGTAAAACTGAAAAAAATATTACCTCCTAGGACAAGTATGGGGCATTTCTACCCACCTATAGGGTCACTATGAGTGGAATCAACTTGGTGACAATAAGCTTATGCTAAGGAAAGCAGCTAAAGTTGAGAAATTTTATTTCCTTGTATTTAACTAAGCACACATTTTGCCAAATAAAGGAAGAGGGGAAAAGTCCATAAGGTTGCTTAATGTTAGGTAGCATCTAGTCAGTTCTGACTCACACAGGCTCTGTACAATAGACTGAAACATTGCCCAATCCTGCACTATCTTCACAATCTTTGCTACATTTGAGCCTATTGCTGCAGCCACTGTCCATGTATCTCCTTGAGGATCTTCCTCTTTTTTCCTGACCCTCTATTTTACCAAGCATGATGTCCTTCTCCAGGGACTGGTGCCTCTTGATAATATGTCCAAAGTACATGAGATGAGGTCTCACCATATTAGGTTCTAAGGAGCATTCCAGCTGTACTTCTTCCAAAATAGATTTCTTCATTCTTCTGGCAGTCCATGGCATATTCAATATTATTCACCAGCACCAAAATTCAAAGGCATCATGTCTTCTTTGGTCGTTCTTATTCATTATCCAGCTTTCACATGTGTCTGAGGCAGCTGAAAATACTATGGCCTGAGTCAGGTGCACCTTAGTCCCCAGAGTGACATCTTTGGCTGTTAACAATTTAAAGAGTTCTTTTGCTGCAGATTTGCCAATGCAATACGATGTTTGATTTCTGGACTTTTGCTTCCATGGGCATTGAATGTAGATCCAAGTAAAATGAAATCCTTGACAACTTCATTCTTTTCTCCATTTATCATGATGTTGTTTATTGGTCCACTTGTGAGGATTTTTGTTTTCTTTATGTTGAGGTGTAATCCATGCTGAAGGCTGTAGTCCTTGATCTTTATCAGTAAGTGCTTCAAGACCTCTTCACTTTCAGAAGGCAAAGTTTTGTCATCTGTTTAAATCACAAGTTGTTAAAGTGTCCTTCCTTTAATCCTGATCCACATTCTTCTTCATATACTACAGCTTCCTAGATTATTTGCTCAGGATACTGATTCACTTTTCTTGATTTTTAAACCATGTAGTATTCCTTGTTTTGTTTGAAAAACTGCCTCTTGGAATATGTACAAT